AATGTTATGAGCCAAGAAAGGTGAGGGCTGTCTCTTATACACATCTAGATGTGTATAAGAGACAGAGAATATTAAGAGAGAAAATGCATTTTAAAAAAAACAGTTATTTTCCTTTCCATACAATACACAGCCTGTCATTTTTCTCCAAATTTGGGTTTAATGAATTCAGCGAACATATATTTGTATTGACTATGTGTGAAAACTAATTACTAATGTTTGGATAGTAGAAGAGTTTCATGATGAGAAATGATTAAGTGTGTAAATTACCCATTTTAGGCTCCATCCAGACTTAGGGGTTAGATTATTCCTTTACTAAACTTCATCCTTTTTTCTCAAAAGAATCAACAAGGAGGGAGGGTATATTTAAAAAAAGAATCAACAATGAGGGAGGGTATATTTAAAAAAAAGAATCAACAAGGAGGGAGGGTATATTTAAAAAAAGAATCAACAAGGAGGGAGGGTATATTTAAAAAAAGAATCAACAAGGAGGGAGGGTATATTTACAACAAAATAATTTTGATTACTTGGTTAACAAAATATATTTCCAAATTGCTATTTATGTGTTTTTCTAATTTCTATTTTTTAATTATTTATTTCACAATGTATGTAGTTATTATTGATTTAGATGAATCATTATTTTGCGGTTTTTTGTTTTGTTTTTTGTTTTTTTAGTTCTTAGGGTATTTCTTTTAATGTAATTGATAATTAATGTTCTGTTTTATGTACACTATGTGTTTAAGATAACTAGAAAAAAAAATGATGGAAACTTAGTTTACAACTACCTGTGATATGGATATTCTGATGAAGAAACTAGTCTCTTATGTCATCGTCATACAATTTGTGCTAGAATTAGGAAAAGGGAGACGTCATTGCCATTACAGTGAGCCAGCCTGTTTAATCTGGATATGAACAGTTTTGGCGTCTCTGCATCATATGAATTAACAAACTGTTCTTAGTCACAGTTTATTTTTCAGTTGTTATTTGTCATTCTTGAATACAGGTGTGTTAGACAAATCTTTACCTTAATCATTATTATGTCTAGTAAAATATATTGATATATTTATAATCAATTATTAATTAGTGTAGCATAGTTTTTGATCAGTGGATTCACTGAGTATAATAGGTAGACTTACTTGCACATGCAAAACAACATTTTCTGAATTTTTAGTGGGTCGCTGTTTTCGAAGTTCCTACCCAGTTCAGTTTTTTATTATCGATTATGAAAACAGAGACCCAGACATAGAGAAACAGAAACCTGTTATTCGAGTGGGTCTCCGTCTGTTTTCGAGACACCCATGTAGGAATTGTATGGTTTCCTTCGATCTTTAAAATTTGTTTAGATAAGTTTGCATATGAATATATTACAGTATATAATATATTCTGTATACTATTATAAATGACTGTGGTATATATAAATTCACATGACAGGAAGGTGCTTAATGATATGAGAGCTTTCATTTTCAAAATACTACTATTTTTGGAGTGTCTCTTTTGTGTGTGTGTGCATATTCCTGGTAAGTCAAGATATTACTGGTCCTAAAGGAGCCTTTAAATATATTAAACCTTGGAAGTATTATACCACCATGTTCAGTGCTCATACTAAACTGGTGAAAGTTGGTTATGGTCCCTGCTCTATAAATGTTATGAGCCAAGAAAGGTGAGGGTTGTTTGTCTTCCTGTGATAGTGGTGAATTTTTATGATAAATGTATAAGTTAATTTTAACCATCTAGATCTACAAAAGAACAGCAAAATTGATTGAAAAAATATATAATCATGGCATAATCAAAAAAACCTTTCGTATGAAAACCTAAATATTTTACAATGCAAATGCTTGTATGTTGAACATGGTAGCAGAATTGTTGAACTTTGGAACAAGGAAGAATTGGAAATGACAGACTATTCCTTGTGCAAGCGTCAGGTTGTTTATAGCAAGAATGGGAAAGATACTACTGTATGCAGTTTGGAAAACGTGTTGTATATGCAAAATGGTGACGCAATTTCCGTCATGAAAACAGATTTTCGTAAAATCAAAAATTGCAGTTGCAATGCGGGCAGGCTATCTGGCACTCATTAAAAAAGCGGTTTAAAAAAATTGATTATTTTGTGTTTATCAGTAGAAACACACCCTTAGTGGAACAGTACATAATAATCTAAGACATGATTAGAATTTTGGAAGAAAAGGTCAAGGTCATTGACTTTTTTTTTTTTTTTTTTTTTTTTTTTTAATAGAATCGCCCATAACCAACCTGCGTATTGTTCGGTATTCAGGCACAGGATTGCACTCTATGAGAGTGACTGCTCTAGTTAAAAGATATTTTTGAAGCTAAATTTTCTTGCTTTTCAATTGTTTATTGTTGCTTTCACTTTGAAACTGATTTTCAGTACGGTGAGTCGAATGACCGAGCGGTTAGCAGGGGCGCCGCAAGCTATAGCCATAATATCGGCGCTGGTTCGAACGGTACGCTCGCCTATGGTTCTGGTGGTGGAACAAGTCTTCTCGGATAAGGACTATAAACCGTAGGCACAGTGTATACAGTGGCTTGTGTGCACTATAAAGAACCCAGTACATCCTTCGAGACGAGTAGGGGGATACCCCGGTGTACTGGAACAGACAGCCCCTGTGGTGGACGACGAGAGTTGCTGGTACCGGGTTACCGGGTAGCACAGACACGAAGGGACCCTTAGGGGCGGCGACGAAAGTCATTGTTCGAGTTCCTAGCCCACATTTCAAGCGCCCTGAGCATCTTACATTAGATGGATATGTGCGCTATATAAAACTACACTATTATTATTATTATTACAGTACATATACTCTCTAGATCTATAATAATAATAGTAAAAACTTTATTTAACTACGGAAAGACTTGTTCACCGCAATGGTGTTTTTAACAAGGCCGTAAAGGCATTGTACAATTCAACAAAACAGAAATTAAAACAAAAAGGTAAAAATAGACATTAAAAAAAGAAAATCACATTAGGGCCTACTGAAAGAAACTTAACTACATTAACTAAACCATAGAGAAAATATTTTCTCCATGACTAAACTGAATTATCGTAAATAAACTTACATCATTAACTATAATACTTTAATTGATTTTAATTTTCATTTTAAAATTGGAAATTCCTGGGAAAGTCATTCAAAGACCAATTTAAAGCTCATCTACTTGAATATACTAATAACATTTATATTTGATTTTTAAACCAAAAGACTCATAACCAGGAAGTCAAAGAATGGATGTGGGGAGGTTTTGCTTTGGTTTATACAATCCCATCCATTTTACGTACCCCTTGGTACCAAGATGCTGTGAAGTGCTTGTCCCTAGAATACTGTAAAACTTCGAATTGAATTGATTTTTATGTGAACTTTGGGTGGACTTTTTGAGAGATGAAGTTTTTTTCGAGAAGGGGCTTCTTTTCAAAATGAATGCTGTAAATTTTGGGAATTAGTACTATAAAACAATAAATAAGGTCACTGTAATAACATCAATCTGTATCATGGAGTGTATTAACCGGCATTATTGTGTGCAATATTCATGTTACTTCATATTTAAGGGTCAGCTGACTCGTTTGTGTTACAGATTTGCTTTAGCTGTCCCTGATCATCGTTTTGTTTCTCGTGCTTTTTATTGTATAGGGTCAAATAGATAGATAAAATAAATAAGTAAATTAAGAATTAAGTCACCTTAACTACTGTATAAACTAAGCATGTTTTTAATTTATTTCGTTTCTTTGAAATTCATGTACAGTGTATGTACTGTACTCGAAAAGAAACCTGTGCTATCTTGAAATGAAGCCCATGGTCATCTTTTCGAGGCTAATTTTGTAAACTTAAGAGAGGGCTTCAATTTGAGATGGGCTTCTCCTCGAGATTAAGTCTATTGTGCTTCAATTCAAGGTTTTACTGTACACAGAGTATAGTTCTTGTACATCATTATCTTTAATGGCATTTCTTTTGCAGGTAGTACCATGGTAGTACCGAATAGTGGTTCTGAAGTTTTGTATTCAGCAGTTATCATCATTATACAGCTGTTTTGTACTATAAGGAGTGTTTATTAGTTCAGCTGTCTCTATCCGCTATCAATGTATATCGTCCTAATCTCACACCAAGCTTTAGTATTGTATATTATCTTGTTTCCTGGACTGTGTTTTACAGACTCAATGATTCCTGCAGTAATTCTATTCTATCTACATTTAAAACTCTTCTATTATAGAGTACAGGTTTCCCTCCAATTAAAGACCATTTTTGTTACTGGGGTTTTGATGGTGTTTAGTACCTTTGGTCTCTAATTTGAATAATAAAGATAAAACACATTTGTTAATTTGGTACCACAGAAGCGTGCAGGTGGCCTTTAATTGGAGGGGTACTTCTTGAGTCGCACCTAATTCTACAGCAAATGTGTTTGTTTTCTTTTTTTTTTTATTGTGAAAAACAATGCAGTTGTATTGTGATACACATTAGAATTATACATTAATATGTAATTACATTTTTATTCTTTTCAGTGAAAATACTGACAATTCAACAATGTATCATTACTACGAGCCGAATGGAACAAAGGAATGTAGCTACTATAGCTGGAGTGAACACAATTTGAAGTCGGGTCATTTGTTTATGACAGAAAAAGCTGTCTTTGCCCGCTGGGCTCAGAAGTTTGACATCCACTTTCATCATCCGGAATGGAACATTACGGCTCTCGCCAACTTCACAAAAACAGGAATAGATACTCCTTTCGTCCGCGCTTTCAGGAAACAGAAAAAGCGGAAGACGAGGGTTATGCGTAGAAAGGCACGTAAGAAACCCACACGTGGTTGTAGGACTGTTAAATGTGCTGTCATCTTATCCCTAATGCCTGTATTAGCTCTTTACGTGTTTTCCTTCGCGATTTGGATTGCCATCCGGAAATCTGATCCTGATTCCGATGCGTTGTTGTTGAATCATCAGAAGAGAGGGTTCTATGACGATGAGACCAGCTCATCAGAGGGCGATGATGATTTTTGATTAAATTAAATAATTTTATGTTCAGATGTGTCCTATGCTGTTGCTAGGTTACTGAGTTGGTAGTAATTTCCCAGGCAAAGAAAATGCAATTTAGTAATGTACTAGACGAGTTAGTCTAGTTATTAGCTACTGATTTATGAAAAAAAAAGTATGTGATTTTGTAATTTAATCTGTTTACATCAAACCAACATTGCAATCAAAAATTCTCATCAATTGTTTGTTTTTTACAAATGTACAGGAATTAAATCAGTTATTATTGACACTATTTTTATAATGCCTTGCGTATTACTTGCTCCTTTGCATAATTGTAAAGGATGCTTAAAATGACATAATATTATTGGATGTTTGCTAATACGGACTTTTTTTATATGAATATTGTTTACTTATGTGTGCTATTGGTGTTTCTTTAAATTAAAATTCGATATTGATTGTATTTACTGATCAAACTATTTATGGACAGCATCACTGTGTATCTTGGTTAAATTAAATGGTTTATGAACGAATAAATTAAGTAAATTCAAACTGCTATTTATTGGACGCCAGCAAATGTACAAGAACATAATCGCTTGATTACCTACACTATTTTTATAACTCTTTGCATTGAAAGGATGCAAGATACCTAAAAGGACATTATATTGTTGGATGTTTAAAACAATCACATTTTTTATTATGAATATAGTCAACATATGCGCACTATTAACATTTCTTTCATCAAAATTCCATATCTATTGAATTTACTGATCAAGAATTTGTTAAATATCATCACTGGACAGTATTGCTATTATATATTTGATGGCGTTTTAATAACTATATGACTTACAAACTAAATGAATGAATAACAAAATGAACAAAACGGATCAAGAATAATATAATTGAACCTCCAACCAACCATTATTTTTTGTATACCAAAACCTAGTAATGATACAAACATTATATTGTTCTCAGTAAATATATTAGCGAACAATTTAAAAAAAAACAAAGTGAGACTAATTGTCACTGAAATGTCATTGATAAATTATATATATTAAACTAGAAGAAAGAATTTGAATATTAAAACATAATCAATTTAGATACTATATCATGATTAATTCCATCCAGTCTAAAAGTATTAATGCTAGCTGTAGTATCTACATATTCATTAGTCGTCTAAATCACAAAGCTTATTGGGAATTTTATAAAGATTTTGCTATGCTTCCAATGAGAAAGAGGATGTAAAGTATCGTGTAAAAATCGTGAAATATTTTAAATTATAAATCCGTCTTGATGTCAGCATCCAGGATGTTTTTGACTTGGTGAAGGTAGTTTTTGCCATCAATGATTTAACTACATGCGAAAATGATAATTGATTTGACTGGTATGATAGTAAAATCTGATGAAAATATGATAATGCTATTACGATAAAAGTAAAGCTATATATAAAGGTGAGTGTGTGAGGATTGTTTATATTGTAGGACAAGGTATTTTTGTTACACAGTATGTCATTATTAGTACATGATTCTTATCAGCATATCAGTTTTTTCCTTGTGAGATGCATGGTGAAAATGACAATCAAACACATAAGTAAATTTACAATTCCGAGTGTCTAGTAATGCAATCAGTGAAAAAAAAAAACATTTTGTTAGATGCCTATATATATATTATATATATATATATATATATAATTTGTCCATGTATAGATTTTGATTCCCTGTTTCATCCAAAAGAACCAGATGTAGAAATATAAATATCATTAAGAAACGTAAGTGTGATTTAATGTCCTTGTTTGTTGAAATACATACTGTAGGATTGTAATGTAGGGTAATAAGTGTGTTGTTTTTGTTGTGAAGGTGAGCATTGCAGACATGGTGGAGTTAATAAGAGGATACTGAATTGTGTTCGTACAACAACTGATCATGATTGTAAATTTGTAAGTGATCAGGGTGCTGTATCAATGACTGTTAATCTCCCCCATGCTGTCTGTAAGTTTATGTAACAGTGCTATATATGTAAAGTACAAGTACAGTACGTTCATAATGTTTATAAGTAAATGTAACTGTACATTATTCAAAATGCATTTCTGTATGCACAAATATAGTTTGTCCTGCATCAGCTATTATGACATTTCTGTCATATTATAGTGTATATTGATACATAGTGAGTGTAAAATGCAAGTAATTGTGTATACATCAGGGTAATACATACATATTCCAGAAGACATATTTTCCATATTTTGTCAAGGACATTTCAAGATTTTTAAAAATTATTATTTGAAGGGTGGATTTACACATTTGTCCCTGGAATGTATTTAAATTCATGGGTAATGCTTCAATTTGGGTTTTCTTCCATCAGTGAATATCAATCAATTAATAATATTGGTTAATTCAATAAATAACATTTATTATTGAATGTCAGCAAATGTGTTGCTAAATATATATATATATATTGTAGATTTCAAAAATTAATCAACAACATACTGTGATTATGCTCCTAAGATATGTAATAATTGTTTCAACATCATTATTATTATTATTATTATTATTATTATTATTACAGAATATTTAATGTTACATTGATAGCATAGCCTTGTAACAGATATCTCATTTACTTCAGTGGAACCTTACAATAAACACAAGGAAATCTTTAAATCCATGATTAAGCCCTGCCTAGACTATCAAATTGTCTTTGTTGTATGCCCATATATAGTCAAGATGAGCCTATATATGGTCATGATGAGCCTATATATAGTCATGATGTGCCTATATATGGTCATGATGTGCCTATATATATAGTCATGATGAGCCTATATATGGTCACGATGTGCCTATATATGGTCACGATGTGCCTATATATGGTCATGATGTGCCTATATATGGTCATGATGTGCCTATATATGGTCATGATGTGCCTATATATGGTCACGATGTGCCTATATATGGTCATGATGTGCCTATATATAGTCATGATATGCCTATATATGGTCATGATATGCCTATATATGGTCATGATGTGCCTATATATGGTCACGATGTGCCTATATATGGTCATGATGTGCCCATATATAGTCATGAGCCTATATATGGTCATGATATGCCTATATATGGTCATGATGTGATGTCATATCCATATTTAGGCATGTCACATGTTTTTTTTTTCAAATAAAATGTGATAGTCTGGACAAGTCTGGACAGGACTTTAGCAGCGTTTAAAGCTCTGTCCACACTATCAAATTTTCTTTGATAAAAATCTGTTGTATGCCCATATATAGTCATGACGTGCCTATATATGGTCATGATGTGATGTCATCATGACCATGTTTAGGCATGTCACGTGTTTTTGTCAAATAAAATTTGATAGTCTGGACAGGGCTTAACAAGTCATTTAGGACTGTCTTTGTTTACAATTTTTTGGTGAAAGCCTCAGGATGTTGAATTGTGTGTCTATCATAGTTTTTAATAATAATAATAATAATAATAATAATAATAATTCTGGATTTATATAGCGCCTCACGTTGACACAACCTCAAGGTTGACATTGACACAACCATGTGTGCTTATACATTTTCTTGATTTTACTTTATATATAATCCTTTTCTTAGTTGAGTTTGATTTATTCATATTTTATCGCATATTTAGAAGGTGCTATTTAATAATGTAATGAATGTTATCAGAAATAGGTAAATATTTTTGTTTGTTTTGGTTTTTTTGCTTTACATATTTTCTATGAGAATATACATTTACATATATTATACAGGGCGTAGTCTGGTTTTGGGGGTGGGGGGAATTACAATGTGGAACTAAATCACAAAATGTGGGGGACCCCCCCCCCAAAAAAAAAAAAAAAAAAAAAACCCCAACCTACAGTTAGGGTATAGATCTTCCTGTTTGAAGCAATGAATCACATAATTTATCCAATGGATAAATTCTTCAGTTTTTTAAGTAATAATAATAATAATAATAATAATAATGTTTTTATTTAAACACTGTAAAAACTCAATCAACAACACCGTTAAATCTCAAATAACTTAATATAGTAATAGCAATGTTTAGTAGTGGAAGACTGATCATTTATTGGTGCTCTTTAATTAATATGTCCACTGTAATTGCAAGTACCCTCTCAACCTCTGACCTCTTGTGTATATGCCAGAAATTGTTCTAGTGCATAAACATTTTGGATATTTTTGCCAAGTGTAGGAAGTGGCAGTGACATGAAATGTAATGTTCAGAATGCTCTGAATCTTCTTAAGATTATGGTTTGTTTTAGAGTCGGGAAAAAAAAAACACAAATTAGCAATATCCAAAACATGCATTTGTATAATATATATAGATAAATATGACCCTAAAAAATACTTTTAGGGAGGATGAATTTGAACTAGTAACTAGTATCTAATTTCAAAATTAAGATATTTTAAACAATTGTTTTTTTTTGTTTTTTTTCCAAGTAAATTTAATTTTATTCATATACATGTCTATAAGTAATGTGTAGGTAGGTAAAAATATATATGACAGTGCTAAGTGGTTTTTGTATTTTTGATCTGTATGAGAATATTAGTTTAAGTGATCTTGTAGATACATTCCCTATCCCTAGGGAATTTTACGCTGCTGTGATTTTCCTGATGGTTTTCCCCTGTTTTACGATATTTTTGTGTTCTTAGTTAAATAACATGATGGTGGACAATCGTAGTAAACTACAGTTTTGTTAGAAACACTTGAATTTTTAAAAATGTGCATACTTCAGAAGTATAAATTGATTGTGATGTATCCATTGGTGCTTTATCTATGTAGACTCGCATATTTAGCAACACAGATCTACCGTTGTAAAGGTATCGTGTTTATTAATATCATTATGGATAACACTAGCTAATTGCGTATATAGTATGCTGTACGTGCATTTGTGCATACAGGGGAATTCTCAGAAAACCAATCTATGATCCAAAAACTTGAAATTATGGTGAAAGCGTCATTAATCATTATAATATATTATAATTCTTAATACATTAATCAAATATATATACATATTTATATATATGGATATATATATAAGTATAAGTATATAAAATGGTAGAAATATTTTGCTAGACACAGATTCAAATCATTGGTGTACTAATGTCAGAAATTGTTACAAAATGTCAAACTGTTACAAAAAATATTAATCTAAATGTTTAGTTTCTCTCACTTAAAGGCGCTCATAATTCATATTTATTGTAGTGTTGCGTTTTTGGTACAAGTTTTAACAATGATGAAAATTCTTTCAGTTTGTAGGTCTAAGAAAAGTTTTGTTGTGCTCATGTAACTTTCATTTTAAGCATTCATTATGCTCTTAATTAAACCTATTTTGGAATTGACAATTTTCAGTTTCTGTATTTGTTGCTTTAATCAGTTTAAAGCCAGGCTCTGGAGAAAGAATATTTTTTGATATGTTGAACAACTCATTTTTCTAAGACACAAAAACATTTTTGACAAAAATACTCGGAAGTGGTTAATAGATTTTTTAATATTAAAAACCTGGTGGTAAAAGGGTGTAACCACCACCCTTTTTTCCACCTTTTTCCCCCAGTTTTTTAAATATTCGAAAATCTGTATCTCATTGACTGCTCGCAAGATCTTCGTCAAATATGCTTTTTCTGTCTTAGAAAAATCAGTTGTAAACATATCAAAAAAGTTTTTTCCCGCTGGAGCTTGGCTTTAGATACAGTATGCTGTTTGTGATGAAGGAGTGTGGCGCAGTCTCTCAACCACGAAGTCGGAGTTTCAAATCCTTTGCTGTGACAATTTATCTACATTTGTCTCTCTTCACCTAGGAGTACAATTGGGTACCTGCTAAGATCTAAATAGCCCGTGGACTTGTGCTTCCCAGGGAGCTGAGGATGCGTCTCATAGGTGTCTGATCCAGTGAGTGGGATAGCGGACAGCACAGCAATACAGTATATCTGCTAAAAGTGGAGTATTATTGCTACTGTCGTTGTTGCGGCTATTACTGTTTTTATCGATATGAAAATAT